CTGAGGGGTAGGGCTAGAGCAGAGACCTCCATGTGGTAACATGCCTCGTGTGTCAAGGCACAGGAACAGCAAGGAGGCTGGACTCCCAGAATGAGTGAAGGCAAGCGTATCAGGAGAGAAAGACAGAGAGGTAAGGAGTGAGTGGACTGCATAGAGGATGCAGGACCCTTCTGGGGTTGTAGAGACTTTGATTTTTACACTGGGAGAAATAGGGAGTTACTGAAGAATTATTCTAAAAGAAATGGAGGGGGTAGCTACTGAAGGGTTTTGATTAGAGAAGTGCTATGATCTAAGGTATATTTTAAAGGGATAAGTCTGGCTTCTGTGTTGAAGGTGAGAGTAGAAGCAGGGAGACTTGACAGGAGGCTACAGTAATAATCCAGGTGACAAATGGTGACTTGGACTCATTGAGCAGCAATGACGGAGAGCGATGTGGTTGGATTCGAATGTACTCCGGAGATAGAATTAATTCCTGTCAGATCTCATGTTTATGTAATAGGAAGACAGGAGTCAAGAGTGACTCAGTTTTGGGTCTGAACACCTGAAGAAGAGAGTTGCCATCAACTGTGATGGGAGAGGCTGCAGGCAGATCAAGTATGTGGAAGTAACTCATGAGTTCCATTTCGGACATCCCAAGTTTGGAGATATGGAGCAGACAGCAGGGAATACGGGTCTAGAGTTGAGAGAAAAGGTCTAGGCTAGAGAAATAAATGTGGGTCATGGGCATACCCATGGTATTTAAAACCACATACCTGTATGAGATCAAAAGAGGTGGGTGAGGAAGAGTAGAGGACTGAGGTCTGAGGCTTGGACACTTCAACATTTAGAGATCAGGCAAAAGAGGCAGAACCAGAAAAAGAGACCAAGAAGGTAGGAGTAATGAGGTCGGAGGAAAACCAAGAGAGTGTGGTGTCCTCGAAGCCCAGTGAAGAAAGTGTATCAAGGAGGAGAATACGGTCAGCTCGATCAGCTGCTATTAATCAATAAGATGAGAACTGAGAATTAGCCACTGGATTTAGTTAACAATGTAAGTCATGGTAACTTTGACGAGAACCATTTCTGTGGAGTGGTGGGGCTATAAGCCTGATTTGGGGTTGGTTTAAGAGAGAACTAGAGAAGACGACCTGGACATAGCAAGAGTAGAGGATTCTTTGAGGAGTTTGCTCTAAAGGGGAGCAAACAAATGAGACAGAGGCTGCCAAGGGAAATACAGCTATTAAAAGACCTTCTTGTTTTTTAAGATTTGGGAGGAACAATGGCATGCTTGTGTACTCATGGAAATGGTCCAGCAGAGAGTGACAGTTTGGTGTAGGAGAGAAAAGGAAGAGTTGCTGAAGAAATGTCCTTGAATAGGTGAGATGTGACGGCGGGCACCTGCAGAGCTCTCTTCTGGTTGCTTGTATTTTTCCACTGGAAAAAGAACCCAATTAGCAGCTGAGAGTGAGGCTGGGAAGGAAATGTTCAGGGTTTGAGAAAAGAAGGTATGGAACTGTCATCTAGGAGCCTAAGCGAATGAACAGATCAGGGAAATATAAGTATGACCGCTGGGCAGCATTAAGGACCCACTGAAGTTCCAAGAGCATGGATTTAAAGTGAGATCGAGCTGTGTGGCTGTGTTTTTCTCAAGCCATGTTCAGCCGCTGATGTGGAGCAGTCAGAGTTGGGTTTCATTAGGTCTATCGTCATGCCAGGTGACTGTGACAAAGAAAAGAGGCAAAGAACTGAGAGTGTGTAGAAGAAAGAGGTCGGGTTGGGGGTATAATTATAATGACTGATCAGAAACTTACACGAGGTCAGGAGGGGAGTAAGAACATCACAGGCATGGACCATAGCAAAAGCTGGTGGGTTCAACAGATTGTGGAGGTTCTGGTGGGGTCAAAGGATGGTTGGGATCAGGCAAGGAAGTGAGCTGGAAAAGCAGAAGGTTGGGGTCAGTGAGTGGGCTGTGTGACACTGAGATTATGGAGGGCTTGTAGCTGTGGGTTATCACAACAATCATAATCATGGAAGATTATTGGAGGAGAGGTGTTAAGGGACTGAGTGGTCTGGGTGTTGGAAGGGTCATGTGTGTGTGTGTGGCAATCACCAATAGTTAAGACAGTGCTGGAAAGAGAGTGAACCAGGATCTAAAATAAATTGAAATATGATCCCTGGGGGTCAGGGAGAAAACAGTAGTGTTTGGGTTTTTTGTTTGTTTGTTTGTCTTTTTAAGATTTTATTTATTTATTTGAGAGAGAGAGAATGAGAGAGAGCAGAGCAGGAGGCGGGGGCAGAGGGAGAAGCAGGCTTCCCACTGAGCAGGGAGCCCAACACAGGGCTCGATCCCAGGACCCTGGGATCGTGACCTGAGCCGAAGGCAGCCACCTAACCTACTGAGTCACCGATGTGCCCCAAGACAGATTATGAACTCTAGAGGTCACGGAGGAAGAGTTTCAGGAGTTAGGGAGGATAGAAGGCCATAGAATAGGGGAAAGACCGGGCCTCATGGGGATCAGAGGCCTGGAGACAAGGTGACTTGGGAGCCAGGGAGATTGTAGAATTGACACAAACAGGGAGAGGGACACATTGAGATTAATCCCATTGGATGAAAAGTGGATGATGGTGGCAAGACTGAGTGTTGGGGTTCAGGAGGAATTTCAGGGGCTCCTGACGATGGAGGAAGGTTAGGGAAGCTCTCTGAATAGAGTGTGCCCCTGACCCAGCCTGGCAACCACCCCCACCCTCTGTAATTTTTCACCTTCTCCAAAGGCTGCACCCAGCAGTTACGACAATTCTAACTGCCATATTGTCCACTGGTTTTGAAAGAAGTCCGATTCCAGAACTTCCTGTTTCCCTAAAAGCCCTAAAAGTACTTCATCACATCCATCCCTCTCCCCATCCCAGAGTACACATCCAGGGCTTGGGCTGACGCCCCCAAACAGGTCTGAGTTCTAACAGTCATGGAGCTGCCAACCTCCCAGATGGGCATTTCGGGAAGGGAAGGGCAGCCTCGAGGTCTGTCAGTCCACCTAAAGCTGTGTCATCCATTCTCACATCTCCATATGAAGCCTCTTCCCTCTCTGCCTACACAATACACTGCTTTGGCAAGAAGAGCTTCCAAATCCAGGGAAGATGGTTTTCCCTCATGTGGTCCACGTTTCAGAGAACACATCTGCTCACCATCTTGGTGAATGAGATCGTGCTTCAGTCCCTGGCTGTCCAGGCCCCAGTTAATCACTTGGTCCTCGTCTTCATTCAGCTCTCTTCTGGGCTTAGCTCTATCCTGGTCAAAAGCCAGACCCATTCCTTTGGGCTCGCTCACAGCCTGAGTCGGCGGCCCTCTAATCATCTCCAGGGTTTGCTTCTGGCACTTCCAGAAGGATTGGGGAAGGCAGCCCAGGAGGCTAATAAAAACTTGGTGTTTGCAGAGTTAGGAGAAAGGATGAGCTCCTGGTAACCAGGTGATGTTTTTGTTACACATCCGTAACAGCTGTTTGAACACCAATTTCTCACCCTGTGGTCCTCTAGGACCCCAGAAATCTCTGCTCTGCTCTGGCCTGACGCCTTGTCTGGGGGAGCCCCGCTTTCTCTACCTTCACCTTAGGTTACCACAGTGAATCTCCCTCATACTTTAAGTATGGTAAAATGTCCACACTGGTATGTGACTAGGCAGGTTCGCTAGTTACCTCTTTAGTGAATATTTGCACTTCAGTGAGGGAGATGAGGGTCAGCAAGTCAGGGACTTGCATCCAGTCCATTTAGAATCTTGCTCCTACGGACAGGCTTTTCCTCTATACATTGGGGTCTTGGAGTTGGTTGCCTGGGCCGCTCAGGGGAGCCGTCAAGTTCAATGAGGCTGCAATCACTCAGGTCTGCTAGGCTGCTGCTGCAGAAACAGCTCCCTCGCTGTGAAAGGCAGTTAAGCACTGTGGTGGAGTTGCTTCCATTTCTGGTCAGAGAGACCGTCAGAGTTGGTTATCCCACAGCAGAAGTTCAAGTCGTGACTACTAGAGTCAGATCTCTGGATTCACACCTCTCTTGTGCTGGCTGGGTAGCTGCTTCCTCCACAGTAAAGAGTTGATAGTACCTTCTACAGACACAGGATTCGTTGACATAGAGGTGGCAAAGTGCTCCCTTAGAACAGTGACTGAAGAGTATGCTCCCACATTGGAAGAGGAATGTGACCACATTTTTAGAAGGATTACCTACCATGTGTTAACGTGGGCAGTTATCTAGTTAAAGTTTCTTTTTACAGCCACACGTAAAAACAGGTAGTTCAGGTCTGTTTCACTCATCATCTTCGAACCTGCTCCCCTCTCTCCAAGCCACCGGGCCTTTGAGTTTCCTGGGGATATTTTTTTTGGTGTCTGAGTCCCTTAGCCGCAGGTGGTAGAACTTTAGTAACCGCCCCCCCCCTTGGAGTCTCTTGCTGCCCAACAGGCTCTGCTTCAGTGAGCTGCACCCTACGGAGTCCCAGGCTCAGAAGACTGGCTTAGAACATCCCACTAAACTCTTGGGAACCAGCCTGCTGGGAAAGCAATTCTCTTTTCTAGTGGGACTTTAATCCTCTCATTGCACAGGCTCCTAGCCTCTCCTTTCCCCTCTTTTAGATCTACTCTGCCTCCAGCCTGTTTCTTCCCCGCACAAAAAGTGCTACCAAAAATTTAGAATCAAACTGTAAATTGTAAAATCTGCTTGAGGTTGCCTTCCAGCCAAAGGCAGCATCTCATCCATCTTGAAAGAAAGTCAGCCTTTCTTGAAGACTGGCCTCAGCATGGGGGTTCTATGGGAGAAGCCTTCTAAAAATACCAGGGGAGAGAGGAAGCACCTACAGTCGGGAGTTAGGGAGAGGTATCCTAAGTAGAGGGAAAACCCTTAGGTTGGGGAGTCCAGGGGACGTTAGAGACAGAAAGGGGAAACAGGCCTCTGATACGGATGAAGTCCACCCCTCCCGCTGAGGTAGATCAGGCTGCAGCAAGGCTGGGGCCTGGAAGTGCCAGGCTCAGAGAAGGGTGGGTGGGAAGGGGGCTGCCTGAGAGCTCAGTCTCCTGGCTGGACTAGGATATTTATAGCACCTGTGTTTCTGGACCTGTCTCTACCTGGATTTATGCAGTCTGTGGCTGTAGCATGTGTGGGGAATGAGGGGGGCACATCTTGCTGCAAGGGCTGATTCCCGGCCTTGGGACTCTGGCTGGAATGAAAGTTATAAAATCAAAACAAGGGGCCATCTGGGGGAACACCGAGGCAGAATGGCTCTTTCGTGCTGTGTCTGCAGAGCAGTCGGTGATCAGGCTTGGCTAAACCCGGGGCTTTCCAACACCACCTAGTGTTCTATTTATGGCAGCTGTGGGCGTGGGTGAGGCAGGTGTGGGTGGTGGAGGAAGCGTACCCCACCCTCCCAGTTCCCCAGGGCTGTGGCTCTCTGTTTCCTGGCTGCTCCTCCAAAGGGTTAAAGCCTGAAAGAATGTTCTCTCTCTCTGGGGATCTGCACTTTGAAAGAGGAGCCCAGAGAGCACGTGGTGGCCCATCCTCTCTTCCAGAACAGCAAAACTAGAGTCCAAGTTTGCAGACCCAACGTCCAGGTCCTCCTCTTCATCTTTCCCTAATCGGTATGTGTCTGGCTGCTCTCAGACTACATTAAAAAAAAAAAAAAAAAAAAGTCGATAGCTGTCTTTTGGCTTTTCAAGAAGCCGGAGGACAAATAATCCATAGGAAGACTCTACCTTTGGACCTTCCGGCATTCGGTACATATATGAGGGAGCAGTCTTGAGCAGGCTGGGCTGGGAGGCAGCCGTCTACTATGCCTACCTGTAAAGCCAGCCCTGACTGCTCCCGTGGCAAATTAGACTGGAAGAGGCCATGGGCAGGGTGGGTAGGAAGATCTAGGAAAACTAAGGACAGTATGGATACCTAGGGAAAACAAAAACCATTTTTTTTTTTGTTGATATTTGTCCAGCAGTCATTTTCCTCCTTTAACCCCAGGGCGGCACAAATGAGGCTGCACTATTCTTAGGGTCACCATTTCACAGATGGCAAAACTGAGGCTTAGAAAGGCTAAGGGACTTGCCTGAAGGTGACGCAGCAAGTGCGAACTTCAGTTTCAAACTCGGATTCTGGGGGACCCCCGAGGGTCCGCGGCGGCGGGGGAGGGGGCGCACTGGGGACACAGGAGGCGGGAGGGCGGCCGCGCGGGGGGGGGGGGGGCGGGAGGGGGGGGGGGGGGGGGGGGGGGGAGCAGGAGCGGGCGGCGGCGGCGCGGGGAGGAGCCGAGCCCGGGGGCGCCGCACAGGCCCGGGCCGCTGGAAAGGCCGGTTTGGTGGCCCGGGACGAGGGGCGGCTGGCCGGGAATCCCGAGCGGGCCAGCGAGGCCCGGGCAGCTGCCAGACGCGGCTGGTGACCGGCCCGCGCCGCCCGGCCCCCACCTCCCGGCCCGCGCTGCGGTCGGGCAGCGCGCAGGCCACATACCGCGCGGCGCAGAGGAAATGGCTGGAATTCCTCCCGCGGCGCCTCGCTCGGGCCAGGGGCGGGGCGGGCGCCCGAGAGAGCGTGCGCAGGCGCTGCGGGGCGCTGGCGGGGGTGGCCCGGCTTCCAGCCCAGGGGGCCCCAGCCGGGGCCCCCGCCACTGGGAGCGCTCCGGGAGCTCGAGAACCCGCGCGGGCATTGGGCCAGGCCCAGCCTCCTGCCCCCTCAACCTGTCCCTGGCTCAGGTTGTCGGGGGGTGGGGGCTTGTGGGGAGGGGTACTGCACCCGTGCTGATCAGGCAGCGGGCCCCCAGCCTCTGGGGTGACTTGTAGCGCACAACACACACCGCAGGCGTGGGCCCCTGCGAAGGGACATGCTGAAGCTCTGCTCAGTGAGGCCTCTGCAAGTCCCAGCCTACACTTTGGAAAGGCCCTGGCCCGGTATCTCCAAATGTTCTAGGCCCTGGCTTTCTGTGGCTTTGCTGAGCGGGCCTTTCTTTACTACAGGCCTTGGGAGCAGGGCAGGAGTTGGCTTGAAGGGAGAGGCTGACCCCGCAGGAGCAGGCGGGCCCCTGAGTGGTATAGTATGAGGAGCTGGAGGTGGGGTGCAGGCTTAGTAGAGACGGCCTGAGCAGTGAATTGACCCGAGGAATGAGGCTGTCTCCGTCTCAGACTGTTCCAGAGTGTGGAGTCATTCTTGGGGTCAGCCTAGTCTGGGATAGCTCCCATGCTTCCCCTGGACAGGACCAAAACGTAACTGGGGGAGGGGGAGGGGAGGCTATGGATGGAGGACCTTAGGTTGGGGTCCAGGTAACCTCTGCTAGGAGCGTAGCCCCTGGGGTCTTGAGCAGGGTCTGGTTGACTCGGGATCTGTCCAATCAAGAATGGCATTTGCCCCCTTACTGGAAACTCACTCCCCCTCCCCCCAGGACTTGAGCGCTTACTACACTCTCCAGGAAGATCCACACTTCCTTTCTCTGGGTGGCGAGTCCCACTTGGACTTTCAGCTCAAATATCTTTGTGAGTGCTTCCTTGACCCTCCACTATATTCTCCTCCCTCAATCTTCTTTCACTGCCTGCCTTATTTCCCCTTTCACACGGGATTGTGACCAATTTGTTAATAAATATATGCTCCCAGTTTGATAACAGCTCCACAAGGTCGAAGATTGATCGAATCTTATTTATCTTTGTGGACTCACTGTCTAGTATGGTGCTTGCCTTACAGGAAAGACACTTTAAATGTTTGTTGAGTGAGTGAATGAATGAATGAGAGAAGGAGGAAGGAATTGGGTGCGCAGGTACAGACAGCAGAGATCAAAGGAAAAGCAGGCGAGATAAGGATCCTGCTAGAAAGCTCTAATCTTTGCTTGCTGCATATAGAGAGAGAACCTACTATCTAGGCCCTGCTCTGGCATCTCTTACCTGCAACCTCCAGGTGGGCCCAGTCCAGAGGGCCTGACACCATTACTTACCCAAAACTACTCTGACCTTCACAAGGTGATCCAAACCTTTATCCTAATGCCCATTTCTCATTCTTTTTTTATTTGAGAGAGAGAGAGAACAAGAGAGAGAGCACGAACAGGGGGAGGGGCAGAGGGAGAGGGAAAAGCAGACTCCCTGCTGAGCAGGGAGCCCAATGAGGCCTGATCCCACCCAGGTGCCCACTCACTCTTTCTTACCCTGGCTTTAGCCTCTGGGTTTGGCTTTGTTGGAGATGTGCGTGTTTCTGTCTCCTACCCTTCCCAATCTCCGCATCCAATACTTCCCATGCTGGCCCTCCTCATTTTTCTGCTTCTGGCTCAGGAGAGTCTGATTCCACATTGAGCAGTGCTGTCCACCTTTTCAGAGGTCTACAGCACAGAAGGTGGTGCCCTGGCCCAAGGCTGGGAGCGGTGATGGTGGTGACTTGACTTGCCCCTGGAATGGGATGGCTTCAAGCTTGGAAGCAGGGCAGTGACAGTTTCCCAAACTGACCCACGTTGCTTCCGAGTCCACGTTACAGCTTAAATTTCCACCCTCTCCAGGGGCTTCTGAGAAGCCAGACACAGGCGTGGGGAGGGACTCTCCTGCGAGTCCCTGGGAGAGAATAGGAGCCAGAGACAGGCCTGCCTAATGCACTTGCCCCTCCTCAGGCGGGCCTGGTGGGTGGCGGCAGAACTGGGGAGGGATAGGAGATGAGGTGCCATTTCCAAGGCTGCCCCTGGACACTCATCCATGAGGTGCAGGCTTAGGAAGCCTTGGCAGACCCTTTATAAAGACTCAGGCAGACAGAAACACAGACAGCTCACAGTGACAGTATTGGTTCTGGGAATTTTGGAAGTCAAAAGCCCTACATTTTTCACAAGAAAAAGGAACAAATTTTGGCATCTTTGCTCCAGAAATGGGAATAGACCAAGACAGTGACCTCTGATCATCACTTCCTTATCTCCGTGCTCAGAAGGGGATGGGTTCCTAAGCCCTTCTATTTTCTCCCCAGGGTTTTGTGGGCAGGAGCCCTAGGGTTCAGTAGAGGAAGGAAGGAAGGGAAAGGAAGATAGGCATGGCAGTGGGAAGAAGGGGAGATAATTTTTAAAGTGGCGTGTCCTTGAGGATTGAGGAGGCCAGGAGCCTGATGGACACAGGTTGGGGCCAGAAGGCACCTAATAGGTGTTCAGTGTTACTTTCATCTCCTCATGGAAAGAGCATCCATATCGTGTGTCCCTTAGAGCTCACGGTTCCTTGGGCCCGTATCTCATAGCCTTGAACTACAGCAAACACCCTTGCCTGTCTCACTGCCTCTGCATTGATTGAAGACCTACTACGGGTCAGACAAGTTGCTAGGTATCGAGTGAATCAAAGACAGCTTTTCCGTTGCAGGAGTTAGACCTGAATCGAAGGAGTTGGGATCACATAAGAGAGCATTAAGAGAATGAAGCCGACAATTAATGGCTGCCAAGAGAGGAGAGAGGACCACACCAGGTTGGGGCAGAGTATAAAAGCCTTCGGAAGAAGTTGGCTTTTGAGAGGGCCTTGAAAGGCAAGTGGGCATTTGCCATGTAGAGATGGGGACAGAGGACCTTCCAGGGCAGGGAAGGTCATACATCAGCAAAGGTGCAGGAGAGATCAAGTGCAAGCACATCCAAGGTACTGAGAGCATAGGGCAAAAGTGGGTACAAAGGAGTAACAAGAGAAATGGCTGGAATAGGAGGTGGGTCCTGGACTTTGTAGAGGGTCCTGAATGTCCGACACAGGTCTGTGAGATTTCTCAGAGGGCCATGAGGAGCCCTTGACCAGCAATGGCATGACAAATCATGCTGCTGGCCGCTCAGAAAGAAGCAAGGCAGGGGGGGGGACGGGGGAGAGAAGGGAAAGCAGCCAGACCCATGCATGATAAGTCAACCAGACCGTTAAAGTGCTTTATATTCCCAGCCCCTCATATGTTCAACTGACCTGAAATTGGTTCCATCGAGTAGATCTTTGTCGGTCAAAGGTTTTTGCTGTAGAAGTCTGAGCCTCAGTTCTCCTATGAGAGCAAAGTGAGTATGGAAGGTGGTTTCTGTGTTCCTGTGTGAAAGGGCCAGGGCAGTAATCACTGTGGGCAATCAGAGCCCTTCCTTCTCCTGCTAGCACGGGGAGGGTGAGGAGGAGAGGGTGCAGGTTTGGTACCTAAAAAGGGCAAGACCTTGGGGTAGCCCAGATCTGAGGGAGAGATAGTCTCCTGAAGCAGCTGGGGTGGAGCGGGGTCTGGGAGGAGGTGTTAGGGGCCAGAGGGGCAGTCGGCAGAGGTCTCTGGGGCCAAAAGTTCTCTGAATAGACCCAGCTGGACCTTCTGCCGGCTCTGTGGCTTTCTCCTTAACAGAGCACTTCTCAGGTGGGATGGGAAGGAAATTTCTCAGCAATAGGCAGAGAGAATTGTATTGGTTGTTGTGTGTGTGTGTGGTTTTTTTTTTTAAAATTTTTATTTATTTATTTGACAGCACAAGCGGGTGGAGTAGCAGGTAGAGGGAGAAACAGTCTCCCCGCTGAGCAAGAAGCCAGATGTGGGGCTCGATCCCAGGACCCTGGGATCATGACCTGAGCCGAAGGCAGTCGCTTAACCAACTGAGCCACCCCGGTGCCCCTGGTTGTTGTGGTTTTTAAGTGAGCTCTACGCTCAACGTGAGGCTTAAACTCACTCAAGTTCCTGAGATCAGGAGTGACACGCTCCGCTTATTGAGCCAGCCAGGCACCCCTGGTTGTTGTGTTTTTTAAAATAAACTTTATCTTCCTAGACTGTGAACACCTAGAGAGCAGAGGTGGTATTTCTCACAGGTCCTCGTACTCACTGGGCATTCAATAAAAGCAGAAGGAAAGAATCAGAGTCAGACGCCACATTCTGAGGGGAAGTCTTGCGGGTAGCAGCAATGGCCGAGTTTACTATTTTATTTTATTTTATTTTTTAAAATATTTTATTTATTTATTCATGAGAGACAGAGGAAGAGAGAGAGAGAGAGAGAAGCAGAGGGAGAAGCAGGCTCCCAAGGGGCAGGGAGCCCGATGCGGGACTCGATTCCAGGACCCTGGGATCATGACCTGAGCCGAAGGCAGACGCTTAACCATCTGAGCCACCCAGACACCCCCGAGTTTACTATTTTATCACGAATCCCGCTCTGGGCCCCTCTGGGACTTCGATGAGCGTGGCTGACATCCCCACCACTACCTCTGTACTTCTCTGCTTTCCCTCCATCTCCCAGGTCTCCCATGGAGCATGTTAGCATTTCACCAATTCATTCCATACATATTTATTATTTCAGTTTGCCAGGTTCCCTACTAGACATGGAAACACAATGGTGAATAATGTTAATGATGGAAACAGATAAAGGCCCTAGAAGGCCCTGGGATCTCTCCATGCATGGCCTGATGGGGTCTGAGATGCTACTTGACTGGAAGAGGCAGAATGGTCCCTGCTAGTTATGATTTTATGGCGCCATCTGCTGGCCACATGTGACACATAGACAGGGTTAGGTGTAAATGCACAAAGAAATGGGACTATTAAAACAGAGAGGGCAACACTGCTGTGTACATCCTAAAACATATACGTGTTCACAAAAAATATATATGGAAACATAGACATGTAATCACAGGTAGAAATTCGGGATCTGGCGTAGTACTTTACCCTTGGTAGGACTCGAATCAATACAGTTGACCCTTGAACATTGCCGGGTGGGAGTGGGGGGCGGTTAGGGGCTCCTACCCCCCGCACAGTTGAAAATCTGCATATTACTTTTGATTTCCCAAAATCTTAACTTACTAATAGCCTACTGTTGACTAGAAGTTTTACCATTAACATAAACGGTCAATGAACACATTTTTGGTTATGTTATATGTACATATATATATATAGTATTCTTACAATAAAGTAAGCTAGAGAAAAGAAAAATGTTATTAAGAAAATCAAAGAAGAGAAAATACACTTACCATACTGTACTGTATTTATAGAAAAAAAATCCACCCGTAAGTGGGCCCGCACAGTTCAAAACTGTGTCATTCGAGGATCAACTGTACTTGCTAGTCTACAAAATAAAATCTGAATTCTTCCCATCAGCTTTCTTTCAGGTTTATTATTCACTGCCCTTTCTAGCCAATTGATTGTCACTTGCCTCCTGCCTACATTCCTCCCCCCTCTATTAATTCTTTAAGGCCAAGTTCAAATGCCACCTTCCTTCCTTACCTCTCTAGCTAAGGTAATGACTTCCTCTTCTGGACTTTCATAATTTTATGATATTTATCGTTTCACCGACTTGCATTTTAGCTAAGGGGACACGTGTTTTCTCCTTTCCTAGTCTGTAAGCTCCTCAAGGGCACTTGACTTGTGCTTGACTCATATCTGTGTTCCCCATAGTGCCTGGCACGATGCTTTAAGCACAAAGCTGAGGCTCGGGAAGTATTTGCTGAATGAATGAATAAATGACACAGTCATAGACGCAGAGAAAAACAAAGGTAATACACAGAAATGAACATCTATTTACATAAATTTCTTTAACTTTGCAAAAAGTGATACACATTTAAGTGAAAGCACAGAAACACATGTACCTATGCCTATGGCTGTTAGTAGACATGCTGTTTACATGAAGCCCTTTATTATTTCTCCTGTCTTCATTCTAATCCAGATCTTCATCCCACTGACTGACCGCAGGAACCTCTTAACTTCTTCCCATTTCTAGTTCTTTCCTTTCCATTTTTCCATGGTCCCCAAGCTGTACTTTCCTAAAACACCTCTTTGATGCTATTATTCTTTAGCTCAAGAACTAAACTCAGCAGTTCTTATTGCCTTGCTTGATAAAATCTGGAAAAAAACGAAATCCTTTCTTTTCTACTCTCCCTTCAGGTAAGGGAGTCACAGTTATAACCAGCGAGAAGTGAGTGGAAGTTATTTCTGGGAAAGTTTGTCATTGCCTGTTAAAAGAGACAATTGTGGTTGGTGCCACTTGTCCTCGCTCCTTACTGCTTCATGAATGTGGTTACAAAGGACCTGCAGCAGCCACTTTACAACCATGAGGGAGAAACCAAGCTGTTGCTCCTGACCTCACTGAGTAGCTGAACAAATGCTACTCCTTCCTTGCTTATATGAAAAAAATATATAATAAGTCTCTGTTTAAGCCACTGCAAGTCATGTTTTTTGTCATGCTCATCTGGACGCAATCCTGATTCATGGTTTTTATTTTTTTTTATTTTTATTTTTTTTAAAGATTTTATTTATTTATTTGAGAGAGCGAGAATGAGAGAGAGAGAGAGAGCACATGAGAGGGGGGAGGGTCAGAGGGAGAAGCAGACTCCCTGCTGAGCAGGGAGCCCGATGCGGGACTCGATCCCGGGACTCCAGGATCATGACCTGAGCCGAAGGCAGTCGCTTAACCAACTGAGCCACCCAGGCGCCCCTGATTCATGATTTTTAAATACCTTTCCCTTCCTCTGATACCCACAGAATTAAGTCAATTTTCCTTAACCTGGTATTTTTTTATTTTTAAAAAAATTTTAAAGTTTATTTATTTTTAGTAATCTCTACACCCAATGTGGGGCTCATACTCATGATGCCGAGATCAAGAGTCGCATGCTCGGGACGCCTGGGTGGCTCAGTCGGTTAAGCGTCTGCCTTCGGCTCAGGTCATGATCCCGGGGTCCTGGGATCGAGTCCCGTATCAGACTCCTTGCTCAGCAGGGAGCCTGCTTCTCCCTCTGCTTGTGCTCTCTCTCTCTGACAAATGAATAAATAAAAAATCTTAAAAAAAAAAAAAAAAGAGTCGCATGCTCTTCCAACTGAGCCAGCCAAGCATCCCAACCTGGTATTTTTTAGACTGAGCCTAAATGATGAGGAGACATAGGATGAGCAAGGGAAAGAGCCTTGCAGGCAGAAAGAGCAGTATCTACAAAGGTCCTGAGGCACAACACTCATGTTCTGGCCCCATTCTACTCATCTGGCCTGGATTCCCAGTATTTCCAATATTCTTTTCATGGCCACACCCTAGCCCCAGCCTCTAACCTCTTGCCTGGTCAATTTCAGTAACTTCCCAATTTATCTCCTTGCTCCAACTACTGATTTCCTTTAATCTGTTCTTCTCACATCAGCCAGAGATCTTTTTAAAAATAATTCAAATCAAATGTCTTTTCTATGCTTAAATCCCTTCAGTGTTTATTTTTTATTTTTTTTAACTTATATAAATTTTATTATTTTTAAAGTAACCATAAATCTGTTGAACATGGATAAACTGTTGGATTCTGAATTTTTGGTAAAATGTTATAGCACTCAGATTAGATAAGCAAGCTATATTATACATGTAAAATGTAATATATATTTTAGAAGGAATAAGACATTATTTTAAAGTATATTTAGGATTATTTTCAATGTTCTATACTCTATATTCCCTATAAATAATTATAGTTAAGAAAACATACCATTCTCTAAAAATAAAACAAACCAACAAAAGCTTTCATTAATCTGAAACTAAAGATTAGCTTTCCATTTCTTCTCAGGATCCGTGTTGCTAAATATTTTTCCTTCTTTTTTAAATTTTTTCAAATGCAGCAAGACATTATGTTCAGCCATTTTATATAAATGCTCAGGAGTATTCTTGTAAATGTTTTTTACAAGCTCCATTGCTGTAAATGATTTTTCAAAATTATCACGAAACAATGTAAGAATTTGCTGTTCTCGGATATTTCTGTGAGCAATGTATTCTAGAATTTTAGCTTTAGCATTATGAATTACTGGGCCATGTCCTGGATATATAATATCAGCTTTGAGTTTCAATAGCTCTTTTAGGGAGTTCATATAATCATAGAGGTCTTCAAATATAGTTGTTCCTTCCCCTAGGATGCAATCTCCAGAAAAGACTGCATTTTCCTCTTCTAAAAGTAGAGCCATATGATCATCAGTGTGGCCAGGTGTGTGTATAACTCTGAGAGTGGCAGCTTCAGTTTTAATCACATCTCCATCTTCCAGATAAACATACTGTTGCTTTCCATCTCCTATAATTTCTTCTCTCGGAGGATTCCGTGGGAGTTTTTTAATGCAATATGCAGTGTCATTATTGATGTTTTTACAAATATCTCCTATGCCCCCAGTATGATCACGGTGCCAATGAGTCACTATGATTTCCTGGATTGTTGCGTTAAATTCAGTCAGAGCCTGCTTTAAACAGCTGATATATTCTGGAATTGCTGGTTCTCCAGTGTCAATGAGGATTCTCCTGGTGCCGATCCCTACCAAGTAGGTGTTGGTGCCCTGCAGGGTCATGGGTCCTGGGTTACAGCCCAGGATGTGCACCACCCGACTGGACAGCTGCTCGATGCTCTGCAGGACAGTCGACATACCAGCTTCTGCAGCCCGCCGGCGCGCAGTGACTCGAGCGCGGAACTGGATACTAGCTTTTATTAAATTTTTTTTATTACTCTTTGATTCAAGCCCAAACTCCTCAATAAAACCCAAACTTCTATAAGGATCTGCAGGGTCCAGATCTGTGGTCATCAACCCCATCCTCACATTAGAATTACCTGGGAGTATTTTTTAAGTGATTGGTGGCTGAGCTCCACTTTACACGTTCCGATTTAATTCATATGGGATGAAGTCTGAGGCCTGGACATTTTTACAAATTCCTAAAATAGATGCAGAAGTAGAGTCAGGGTTTAGAACCTCTGATTTAGACCCTGACTACCTTTCCATCCTCACCTAGCACACCACACACGCCTATGGCTCACTCTGCTTTACCGGTGTTGGTTTTCTTTCAAGTCTTCAAATGTGCCAAACTCTGTTTTGCTTCAGGAGACCATTGTAGATGCCGTTCCTTCTGCCTGGCAATCTCTTTTTCTGCTCATCCTATGTCTGCTTCTTTTCTCATCCTTCAGGCTCAATTTAAATATCTCCTGTTCAGAGAGGCCTCCCTTAACCATTTCATTTAAAATCGTCCCCCTTGTCATTCTCTTGTTGTAACTTCTTGATTTCTTTTTTGATACTTATTGCCATTTAAAAATTATGTTTGTCTTTTTTTTAAAGATTTTATTTATTTGAGAGAGAGAGAATGAGAGATAGAGAGCACGAGAGGGAAGAGGGTCAGAGGGAGAAGCAGACTCCCTGCTGAGCAAGGAGCCCGATGTGGGACTCGATCCTGGGACTCCAGGATCATGACCTGAGCCGAAGGCAGCCGCTTAACCAACTGAGCCACCCAGGCGCCCATAAAAATTATGTTTGTCTTTTAAAATCTTTGTTGCTCCAGACTATAGACTGCAGAAGGGCAGATTATGGGTTTTTTTGGTGTGTGGTTCACTTCTTGTGATCAGAGCCTACTATAGTGCCTAGTATAGAATGGGTATGTTAAGAACCGTGAAGGAGGCTGAAATTCTACTTACAAGTTAACAAGTTAGCTTGCTGCTCTTTCATGGATGCTGGCAGAAGACATAAGACTCCCAGATCAAAGACAAAAGACTTTATTACTCACAGCAATACCAGTGGCCAGAGCATCTGCATTTGCACTGGTTTCTTGAGTCCCAGTTCCCACAGGGCAATGTGAAGAGGTCCAGGTGACAGAAGCACAGGCAGTGGGTTACATTACAGAGGAGGAACACTGAGCTTAGGGAACCAGAATCATTTATAATGGGCAGTAAGCCTACTTAACCTTTTTTTAAAAAGATTTTATTTATTTATTTAATTGACAGAGAGAGAGACAGCGAGAGAGGGAACACAAGCAGGGGGAGGGTCAGAGGGAGAAGCAGGCTTCCCGCAGAGCAGGGAGCCCGATGCGGGGCTTGATCCCAGGACCCTGAGATCATGACCTGAGCTGAAGGCAGTCGCTTAACCAACTGAGCCACCCAAGCGCCCCAAGCCTACTTAACTTTTGCTTTGCAGGGAGACATTACCTTTATAACATTGGACAGTACACAAACCTGCCCTTTGATCCACAGGGAGACACTATCTTTAATTTTCAAGGCTGTTCATTGTACCATCATGTTTGAAAAGATAGTCAGGAACAAAGAAGTTAGTGCCTTGGCTCGCAAGACGTGCAGAAATGGGAGATACACATGGAGAACTCTTTGATTCCCGAAGCTTTCTGCCTAATACCCTTCACAGACCCAGCACAGGGATGGGGCGCAATCCACACACAGTCTGCAGGGCTCGTTGAATTGAAATGCCAGACAGTAGAGGTCCGGGAGACTAAGGCAGCTGGTGTTCGTGGGACAGAGTACTAGCAAGGAGGAAGCTATGCAGAGAAAGAACTCCAGCAGTTCACATAGGGTTCTCTTGAGTTTTGGGTAAATACTACCTGTGCATGCGTGGGGTAAGACTCTCCTAAGCCAGGCAAGGGCCAACTATTGGAAAAACAACTACCAGGAAGCTGTAAGCTGAACAATGTCCAGAGCTCACATCAGGTTGAAAGATGTTCGAGTTCCAACCAGCCAGACTGGAGAATGGAGAGACATTTACTATCTGAGGCATTAAGTAGGTATCTTAGTAGTTGGGTAACACTGGCCCTAGAGTAAAGGTAATCCAGATCAGGGTTTTTCATTCTTGGTACCATTGATATTTTTGGGAAGGATAATTCATGTTTTCGGGGACTTTCCTGTGTATCTTACAATATTGAACAGCATCTCTGGCCTCTAACCATTAGAAGCCAGTAGCACTTTCCTGGTTGTGATAACCAAAACTGTTTCTAGACATTGCCAATATCCTGGGGATAGGTGTGGGGGAAAGGTGTACAAATTTAGAACCACTGCCCTAGATCCACCCTAACAAAGCACAAAAACAAACCTTGAAAGCTTTTAGATTATCTTTAATTAAGTCAACTATCTGCCCCCCGCCTCAATAATCTTCAAAGAAAGAACAAAATGCAGCCACTCAACGATGTAACATTCACATTGTCCAGCAGCATCCAATAAAAACTTACTAGCATGCAAAGAGGAAGGAAGACATTACCCATACCCAAGAGAAAATCAATGATAAGAACTAGATCTATAAATGGCAAAGATTATTGAATTAGCATACAAAGAACTATTATAAAGATGTTCAGGGATTAAAAGGAAAACATGAATATGGTGAGAAAAGAAATATAAAATCTGAAAATGAACCAAAGTATTAAATTTTCTAGAACTGAAAAATACAATACCCAGAGGTAAAAATTTACTAAATGGACTCAGCAGCACATAAACTAGAAATTGCAGAAGAAAATATCTATGAATGTGCAAACATAGCAACTTTCCCATCTGAAGCCCCCAGAGACTCAGTGCCCTGTGGGAATAATATCAGGAGTCTAATATTTATCTAATTAGAGTTCCAGAAAGAGAGAAAAGAGTGAATGTGGCAGAAACATATTGGGAAAAAAAAATGTCTGAAAAATGTCCAAATTTGATGGAAGCTAAAAATTCAAATATCCAAGAATCTCAACAAACCCCAAGCTGTATAAACACAAAGAAAACCACACCAAGACACATCATATCATTGCTACAATCTAATCATGAAGAGAAAAATCATAAAAGCAGCAAGAAGAGAAAGACACATTACATACAGAAACCAAAAATAGGAACGAACACTGACTTCTCATCAGAAAGAGTGAAAGCCAGAAGAGGAATTTTTCAAGTTCTATAAGAAGAAAGATGTCAACCTAAAATTCCTTATTTAGCAAAAAAATAACCTCCAAAATGAAAAGGTTATTCAAAATCCTTCAAATGAAATGAAAACAAAGGCATTAAAAAACAAACAAAAAAAACCAAACCAAAACAAAATAACCCAGGGGTGCCTGGGTGGCTCAGTCAGTTAAGCATCTGCCTTTGGCTCAGGTCATGATATCGGGGTTCTGGGATCGAGCCCCATATCGGGCTCCCTGCTCATGGAGAGTCTGCTTCTCCCTCTCTCTCTACTCCTCCCCTGCTCATGCTCTTTTTCTCTTAAAAAAAAAAATTTTTTTTTTAAAAACAAAACAAAAAACCCTCAAAGTTGAGAGAACTCAACACTGGCATAATGTGCTATGTGAAATGTTAAAAGAAATCTTTCAAATTGAAGGAAAATGATAGCAGATGGAAACTTGAACAGAGAGGGATGAATTATCAAAGCTGACAAAGGAAGAAATAAAAACATGAATAGCTCTGTATCTATGAAAGAAATTGCATTTATAACTCAAAACCTTCCCACGAAGAATACCCCAACTCCAGGCTTTTCTGGTAAACAAGTCAAGAAAAAAAATAATACCAATGTGTCACAAACTTTTTGGGAAAATAGGAGAGAAAACACTTCTCAACTCATTTTATGAGGTTAAAGGACAGGTTGGCAAATATTTTAGACTGTTTTAGGCTGCTGCTGTTCCTCCTCTTGGACTCCTTGTCCCCCTGGTCTTCCTTGTTCTCTCCCTCGCTCCCCTCCCCCTCCTCCCTCTTCTCTTCCTTCAAAACACTTTACAATTTTAAAAGGCATTCTTAGCTTACAGTCCCGAGGGCAACTGCCCAAGGGTCAGATTTGTCCTGTGGGTGCTACTCTGCCACCTACTGGGCTAAAGCATTAGTAAACTGCACAGATTTTACTAAGGACTTTGGTGAGGCGGTAGAGAAGAGGGATCTATCTCACACCAAGCAGCAACAACCTAGTGAACACTCCCAGCAGACAATGTTCACATATTTGGGGGTTTTCCAGGTATCTTCTTGTTATTAATTTCTAGTTTAACTCCAGTTAGACCAGAGAACGTGCATTGCATAATTTCAAGTCTTTAAAATTGTTGAGGTTCGTTTTATGTCCCCCCCGCAATGGTCTATCTTAGTAAATGATTGGTGCTCACTTGAAAGGAATGCGAAATTTGCTGTTGTAGGGTGGAGTGTTCTATAAATTCAGTTAGGTCAAGTTCACTGATAGTGATGTTTAGATTGGTTATATCCTTACTGATTTTCTTTTGACTTGTTTTATAACTTAATTATAGCCTCCAACTGTAATTGTGTATTAATCTACTTCTCCTTTCAGTTCTATTGGTTTTTGCCTCATGTATTTGGAAGCTCTGTTGTTAGGTGCTTACAAATTTAGGATTATTATGCCTTCTTGGTGAATTGACCCCTTTATCACTAAATAACTAATCCTTCTTTATCCCTGGTGATCTTTATTGTATTGAAATCTACTTTGCCTGATGCTAATCTAGCCACCATACTTTTTTTGATGAGTGTTTACGCAGTATATCTTTTACCATCCTTTTACTTTTAACCAATGTATATCTTGGTTAAAAGTAAACAGCTATCTTGTAGACAGCATATAGTTAGATATATAGTTAGATCTCACTGTTTTATCCCACATGTCAATCTCTGCCTTTTCATCTGATTTTTTAGACCATTCATATGGATCAAAATTTAAAATCTCACCAGTTGTTTTCTATTTGTTTTGTTCTTTCCTTGCTTTGTCTGTTCCTTATTCAATTTTTTCTCTTCTAACAGTATAATCCCTGTGCTTTCCTCCTGACTTCTAAGCTACTGTCATCCATTTCACTTTTATGTTCTAAACCTACAATACTTTACTACTATTCTGGCTTAGGCAGTCACTTATCTACTATAGTAATTAGAAATAAAAAAAATCTTTTATATTTACTT